GAGAGAAAGAGAGAGAGAGAGAAAGAAAGAAAGAAAGAAAGAAAGAAAGAAAGAAAGAAAGAAAGAAAGAAAGAAAGAAAGAAAGAAAGAAAGAAAGAAATCGTATAACTTATTGTAACTTCACATCAATTTGTGCAGAAAGATAGCATGTGCAATTTAATTTTAAAAATGCTCAAAGATAAAATGTACATTATTTTCATTCTTTTAAATTTCTTAAGTATTTATTTATTGAGACAGACTCTTATGCTGTTGCCCAGTCTGGAGTGCAGTGGAGTGATCATAGCTCACTGCAACCTCAACTTCCTGGGCTCTAGCAATCCTCCTGCCTCAGCTTCCCGAGTAGCTGGAACTACAGACACATGCCACTACCCCCGGCTAATCTTATTATTTTTTGTAGAGCTGGGGTTTCTCTATGTCACCCAGGCTGGGCTGGAACTCCTGGGCACAAGCAGTCCTCCTACCAATGGCCAATGGCCATTTCCAATCCTCCCGGAGTGCTGAGATGACAGGCATCGGCCACCACACTCCGCCCTCATTGCTTTTAAAACATTCTCTGACAAAATCCTTAGGAGCATTTTAAGCAATGGGCATTACAAGGGACTACAGGTTTTGAAACAGCATTGCTCTGCATTAAGAAAATACATTTCTTTGAATGGAAAATAAATTATATAAAATGGAAAATAAAATGACCAGAACCAGGGAGGACAAGACGCCGGTGTTTGCTGCTTCCAGTTGAAGAACCCAAGGGTACTTTTTGTACTACACTGAGTACTTTTCCCTGGTACCACCCTCCCCCCACAGGGCTGTCTTAGGGATTAATTTAGATACTATAGAGTGCTGCGCATAGCATCCAACTCACAGGAAAGCCCAAACTACCGGCCGGACGCAGAGGCTCGCACCTGTAATCCCAGCACTTTGGGAGACCAAGGCAGGTGGATCACTTGAAGTCAGGAGTTTGAGACCAGTGTGGCCAACACGGCGAAACCCTGTCTCTACTAAAAATACAAAAATTAGTGGCATGCACCTGTAATCCCAGCTACTCAGGAGGCTGAGGCATGAGAATTGCTTGAACCTGGGAGGCAGAGGTTGCAGTGAGCCAAGATTGAGCCACTGCACTCCAGCCTGGGTGGCAGAGCAAGACTCCATGTGAAATAAATAAATAAATGCCCAAACTATCTCAGCTTCTCCCCTACCCTATGCCCCCATCCCCCAAGTCTAGACCATCCCTTCCAAGCTGGTTTCCACTGGGAGGTCCTGATGGTCTCCCTTTGTCTCCCTAACCAGGCTGGGGGCTCCCTGAGAAATAGCCAGAGGAGCCCCATCACTAGGACAGGGAGTGGTGATTCAAAGGGCTGCGGTGAGTGACTCCACCTAGGGTCTGGCTAGCAGTGCGTGCCCAGTCATTATTCTTTTGAGCCACAGCCTGAGTACACACAACTGTGGCCCGGTTAGTGAGGCCCTATCCCAGCCAACTAGGAAGAGGCTTGGCCAAACGTGGGGCACTAAGAAAGGCAATTTCTTGGCCAAGGGACCCCCATTCTCTCCACTGCACCCCCATTTGATGGGGTGTTACAGACCTCTCCAGAAGGGGCAGAGGCTGCTCCTCTCCTTGCAGCCCCTTCCCTCTCCCTCCCCGGGTGGATTCCGAGGCCGAGCCAAGCCACGCAGTGGAATGTTGTGTCGTTGGTTGCCGGGCAACCAGAGCCTGCTGGGCGGCTCTGGGAGAGCTGAGCGGGCTTCCACACCACGCTCCACAGAACCCCCAGGCTCTCCTAGACTTGTGCAAAACTCCAGCTGGTGGAAAGAAAGCTGGGGCAACTGCCAGGAGGATGGCGGTGCCCTGGAAGGACTATTTCCGACTGGCCTTGCAGGAGAAACAGTCTACGTGAGTGGGATGTAGAGGCGGGGAGGGCTAGGAGGAGGGCAGGAACGGGTGGGCTGGCCCACCTCTTCCTCACCTCCGGGGTCTGCCTTCCTTGGGCAGATCATACTGGAGATTATTGTCCCCACTTCACAGAAGAGGAAACTGAGGCTCAGGGAGAAACTGAGACATCACCATGGTCTCAGGATTTGCTCCTGATCCCCCACGCCTAGCTGACATCCGGCTGAGATTAAATCATTCAAACCGAGGTGGGAAGGAATTATTCTATGAAATCCTGCTCCCCAATCCACCCCCGAAACTGCATTTTAAGGAGGAACAGAGGAAGCTTGTTCTGTGTCTCCTTTGCTTTCAGCAGCGTGGCCTCAAGTCCCAACCCCGTCTCAGCATCTATAAAATGGGGAGGGGAGTTTCTCCTGGGCTACGGCCAGGAAAGCCTTGCAAATTGCACATTAGTCATCCCTTCTGCTCTCCGTTTCTCCCCGTGGAGCTGGACTCCAGAACCCCACCACCTCCTGGGCCTGTCCCTGCAGAGACCTCGGGCATCTCGGGCTTGGCCATAGCAGGGAGCTGGCCTCCCGGACCTGACCTGCTCTCCCGAGCCTGCCCTCCCAGTAACATCCTTCCGGCTGCTGGGATCACCTCTGACCCCTTTCTCACCCCCATCCGCACTCCATCAGCTCTGTTCTCACCTCCCTCCGCTACTGTCTTGCTCAGAACCGCACTACCTCCGGAATAGCCCCTGGCCCCACCACTGGTCTCCTGCAGCCAGAAGGACCTCTCCTCTGCCAAAAACCCTCCCCCACTACCACTTCACTCAGAGTCAAGGCCAAAGTCCCTCCTCACCATGGCCCACCTCAGTTGGATTCTCAGCACCTCCCTGCTCCCAATTCCCATCTCTTTTCTCCTCCCTCCCTCCTCTCCAGCCACCCTGGCCACACCAGGATCCTAGAATCTGTTTTCTGGAGATGTCCACGTGGCTTGATCCCTCTTCTCCTCCAGGTCCTGCTCAGGTGCCACCTCCTTCCTGTTGAAAGATCCTGTTAGTCTGCTTAATTTTTCATCTCAGTGGCTACCATGTTCTGGCATTCTTTATTATTATTATTATTATTTTATTTTATTTTATTTTATTTTATTTTATTTATTTATTTTTTTTGAGACGGAGTTTCGCTCTTGTTACCCAGGCTGGAGTGCAATGGCGCGATCTCGGCTCACCGCAACCTCCGCCTCCTGGGCTCAGGCAATTCTCCTGCCTCAGCCTCCTGAGTAGCTGGGATTACAGGCACGCGCCACCATGCCCAGCTAATTTTTTGTATTTTTAGTAGAGACGGGGTTTCACCATGTTGACCAGGATGGTCTCGATCTCTTGACCTCATGATCCATCCGCCTCGGCCTCCCAAAGTGCTGGGATTACAGGCTTGAGCCACCGCGCCCGGCCTATTATTATTATTTATTAGGTTGATTTTCTGTGGCTCCCAGCAGAATGCCAGCTTATGAGGGAATAGGGATTTTTACCTGTCCTGTTCCCAGCTGTACCCCTAGTGCCTAGAAGGGTGCCGGGCCCAGAGTAGGTGCTCAGGACAATTTGCTGAATGAATAAAGAATTCACCCGGTGCGGTGGCTCACACCTGTACTCCCAGCACTTTGGGAGGCCAAGGTGGGCAGATCACTTGAGGTCAGGAGTTCGAGACCAGCCTGGACAACATGGTGAAAACCTGTCTCTACTAAAAATACAAAAATTAGCCAGGCATGGTGGCCCACACCTGTAATCTTAGCTACTTGGAAGTCTGAGGCAGGAGAATCGCTTGAACCTGGAAGGCGGAGGTTGCAGTGAGCCAAAATCGCGCCATTGCGCTCCAGCCTGGATAACAGAGTGAGACTCCATCTCAAAAAATAATAATAATAAATAATAATTTAACCAGATGTGGTGGCTCACACCTGTAATCCCAATACTGGGAGGCTGAGGCAGGAGGATTGCTTGAGTCCACAAGTTCAAGACCAGCCTAGGCAATAAATCAAGACCTTATCTTTACAAAATAAAAGTTAGCTGGGTGTGGTGGCACACGCCTGCAGTCCTAGCTACTCAGGAGACAAGACGGGAGGATTGCTTGAGCCCAGGAGTGAGCTATCACACCACCGCACTCCAGCCTGGGTGACAAAGCAAGACCCGAAAAACAAATCTAAACAACAACAACAACAAAATTAACCAGCCAGTGGGTGGCTAATGGGGCACTCCAGACACAGTGGTGAGATGTGGGGCCCCGACACGTGCTTCCTTCACCTCCACCTCCTCCTTGAGTCTCCAGGAAGCTGCCAGAGCAGGCTGAGCATTACTTCCCGCCAGTGCTACGTCTCCTGGAGAAGAGGCAAGAGCTGGTGGATGCAGACCAGGCCCTGCAGACCCAGAAGCAGGTGAGCCCCTACTGTAACCAGGGGGTGAGCCAGCAGATGGGAAGTGATGGAGCCAAGTTGTTAGTTACAAAGTCTGAGACAAGTCGTTTCACCACTCCAAGCCTTGGTTTCCTCATCAGTCAAATGGGGACCAAATGAGACCAGTTGTTGGTGCAGATAAATTTGTGTGCATTGAGCACCAACCTGCGGGTCTCACCATGGTTCCTGCCCTTGTAGGGCTCACAGTCTAGAGAGGAAAGCAGATGAGTGTTTGGGTGGTGACTGCTACAGGGGAGAAGCACTGGGCAGGAGCTGTGGGAGCCCAGAAGAAGCCCCTGCCTCTCCATGGGGGTGGTCATGGAGGGCTTCCTGGAGGAAGTGATGTCTTGGGGATTGCTGAAGGGCAAGTCAGCTTATCCAGCAAAGGGGAATGGGATGAGGAAGGAAAAACAGCCAGAGGAAAAGCATACACAAAGGCTGGAAGGCAAGAACAAAACACAGGTAGTTGAGTGGCTGGAAGACAGAGTATGGGAGGAGAGAGGGTACAATGAGGCCTGAGGGAGGGCAGGGACACTGACATTCGGGGGCTGGAGGAGGGTGTTTGGGCTTCATCTCTGAGTGATGGGAGCCGCGGATGGACTGAGCAGGGAGCAGCCACAGATCAGGGACAACAGGTGGAAGGGGTGAGGTGCGAACCCGAGAGCATGGGAGGACCCGGACCCCTAAAGCCACACAGACACCCCACTCCTCATCCCCAGGTGTTCCACACCAAGATGGCAGCCCTGAAACAGCGCTGGGAACAGCTGGAACAGAAGGAGCGGGAGCTAAAGGGGTCGTTCATCAGCTTTGACAAGTTTTTCCAGGTGTGTGGAGACTGCTGGGGGCGGGGAGGCGGGGCCTATGGGTCGCAGCTCACACCCACAAAGGGGCCCGGCAGGTAACAAAAGAAAAGAAGTGGGTTCAGTCATGCAAAAGGGAACGGCGGGAAACACACACGCACTGCCTGAAGCCGCCGAGTTAAAAAAAAAAAAAAAAATGCAGGGGCGTGCGGTGAAGAGCCAACTTCTTTGACGAGCCTGCTGGCCGCCCAGGTTTTGAGTCCGAAAGTCAGGGCAGGGCGGAGGTGGCGAACTCCCGGCCAGCTCCCGAGTCCTGGAGGTCGCCTCCTCCCCACCTTACTCCCCAGGACTCCGAGGCCAGGCGCAATCGCGCGCTGCGGAGAGCGGCGGAGGAGCGGAACCAGGCGGGCCGCCGGGAGGCGGAGGCGCTGCGGCTGCGGGCCCAGCTCGAGGAGCTAAGGCGGGAGCACGCGCGGCTGCAGCGCAGACTGCAGCGCCTGGAGCCCTGCGCGCGCCTGCTGGAGCAAGCGCTGGAGCTGCTGCCCGGGGTGAGAGCGGGGCAGGAGGCTGGGAGCTCAGGGCCACCGCGCAGCGCTGCGTGGCTCTGGGACGGCTTCGGACGGGCGAACTACTGGAGCGCTAACTGCATTCAAGGGACTATCACTTATGGAGCGTTCACTGTGTGTCAGGGATACTCTTTGGTTTTTGTTGTTGTTAGATTTGGGGGGGGAGGGGCGGGTTGAGACTGTGACTCGCTGTGTTATTGGCGCGATCGCGGCTCACTGCAGCCTTGACTTCCTGGGCTCAAGGGATCCTCCTGCCTCTGCCTCCCAAGTAAATGGGACAGCAGGTGCATGCCACCACGCCTGGCTACTTTTTTAATTATTGTTTTTAATGGGGGGGGGGTCTCACTATATTGCCCAGGCTGGTTTCGAACTCTTCGGCTCAAGCAATCCTCCCGCCTGGACTCCCAAGGTGCTGGGATTACGTGCGTGAGTCACCGCCCATGTTTTGTTCTTGAATCCTCCCCAAAGTCCGGTGAAGGGAGTCCTGTTATTGTCAACTGTCAATCCCATTTTACGATAGGAAAACTGAAGATTCAGAAAGCTAACTCTGACCAGGCGCAGTGGCTCACGCCTGTAATCCCAACACTTTGGGAGGCCAAGGCGGGAGGATTGCTTGAGGCCAGGAGTTCGAGACCAGCCTGAAAAAACGTAGAGAGACACCCCCACTCCCCGCTGTATACAAAAAATTAACCCAGTTTGGTGGCCTGCGGCTATAATCCCAGCTACTCTGGATCGGAAATGGGAAGATCGCTTGAGTCCAGGAGTTGGAGATGGCAGCGAGCTATGATCGCGCCACCGCACTCCAGCCCAGGTGACAGAGCGAGACCTTGTCTCTAACAAATGGAGTTTGACATTTACCAACTGCTAAGTCACTTTCCAGAAAGATTATTCCAATAATAAAAGCGCCAGCGGCCAGGTGGGATGGAGAGGGTAGGGGACTGCAGGCCCATGTGAGTCTCTTCCCCGCCCCTACTGCAGTTCCAAGATGTCCCGGAGCTGGTGGCGCGCTTCGACGGCCTGGCCGAGACACAGGCAGTGCTGAGGCTCAGGGAGCGCGAGCTGCTCGCCGAGCAGGAGGCCGTGCGGGCGCGGCTGCAGCGGCTGCGGGACGCCTGGCCGGACGAGCTGCTCGCACACGGCCAGCGTCGGGCGCAGCTGCAGGAGCGCCTGGAGGCTGCCCGGGAGCGCACGCTGCAGTGGGTATGGCCCGCCCCAGGTGGGGGGCGCTCGGGATCCCAGGCTTCCACCGCCGGGCGGGGAGGAGCGCCATGGCTGATGAGGACCGATGGGGCAATACTTACCCAGAGGCTCCGCTGCGCTAAGGAGGGGATCTCAGGCATCATCTTTTGGGCATGAAGCCCCGCCCTATCCGCCGGCACCAGGCTCCCGAACCCCTCTCCCGAGAGCATCTGACCGTGCCTGACTGGCTAAAGTGGATGGGAAGAATGCTGGGCGTGGTGGCTCACGCCTGTCATCTCAGCACTTTGGGAGGCAGAGGTGGGCAGATCACCTCAGTTCAGGAGTTTGAGACCAGCCTGGCCAACATGGTGAAACCTCTCTACTAAAAATTAGCCAGGCGTGGTGGCGTGCACCTGTAGTCCCATCTACTCAGGAGACTGAGGCAGGAGAATCGCTAGGCCCCAGGAGGCGGATGTTGCAGTGAACTGAC